GCGAAGGTGTGGCTATTGGGGGAGGCTGGAGGCCACGTTTAAAAAAAAAAAAAGTAGTAGTAGTAGTAGTAGTAGTAGTAGTAGTAGTAGTGGTAGTAGTTGTTGTTGTTGTTGTCCAAAATTATTAATCTTACATTATTAATATTTACTACTACAAGGTGACATTTTATTCCTGGCCACATGATTACGTTTTGTTAATAAATTGTTTTAATTAGTCAAAAAAAAAAAAAAAAAAAAAAAAAGTAGCAGCAGTAGTAGTAGTAGTAGTAGTAGCTCCGGTGATGAAAGGTAAGGTGTACTCTCCAATAAGACTCACCTGGAGAAAGTCATCACACTACCAGCTGTTTCATCATCATCAATCACCAGCTGTCACCACCCTCCTTCCCTCCCTGACCCTCGCCGATGACCCCCTTCTACCCACACCCACCTGTCAGATTTCAGATTTATCTCACACAGGGGCTAGTTTATTGAGCCCTCCTAAACATGTACTGCCCACCCTCCCTCCCCAACACCGCTGATGACCCTTTCTATTCACACCCACCTGCCCAGCCCACCCTTCTACCCACGCACCCACGACTCTACCCTGCGCACACTCACGCCCACGTTCTACTGCCCACACCCATTATGTCAACTTCCACTTCGATAATTACATCTCCCACTTAACCTACACCCACCTGCGGAGGCCATTGTTGGTGGCCTGGGTCACACGGGGTCACCAGACCTTGACCCACACGCCTGAGGAGGCTCACACTCTCCCCCTCCCTCTCCCACTACCAAGGACCTCTTCCCTCCCCTATGATAAAAGGTGTGTGTGTGTGTGTGTGTGTGTGTGATACTACTAACAACAAACAACAATAAAATACAACGAACAAGGAATAAACCATCTTAGAATAACCTAACCTAACCCTCTCACAAAATAAATACCAGACTAAGCCACAAGACAACCATGCGATCATTACCATATCAATACTATACTAATAAATAATAATTATCATAATCATAACAAATACTGACACTAATGACCAGGTAAGGCAAGGCTACAGGTTAAAGCTACCGTCACCTTCACACCAACAGTGACCATACATCTTTTATCGCCAATTTTTTAGATTAGAAAAAATATCCGTCAGTGAGTGAGTGAAGCCAACCACTGTGCACACTGGTATATTTGACACCTGAGGGGGAGGGGGGGCGGGACATGGTAGTGAGACAGGGGTGAGGTAAAGGAGGAGGCGAGACAGGTGAGTGTGGTAAGGTAACTTAAGACAGGTTAATGACACAAGTTGACACTCTGTTGGATGATGATGACCTTTACCCCCCCCCCCCCACACACATACGATAAAAGTCACAGTGTTAACATAAGAACATAAGAAAATAAGGAGTCTGCAATAGGCCGGTTGGCCTGTGCATGGCAGCTCCAGTCGAGAGTTACGACCACACTCTATCATCCATGAATCTATCCAGCCTCCCTTTGAAACTTTCCAGCGTTCCAGCACTTACTACAAGCTTGTTCCACTCGTCCACCACCCTATTTGTAAACCAGTTCCTTCCTATCTCCTTCCTAAACCTAGACTTATCCAACTTGAATCCGTTGTTCCGAGTCCTATCCTGGTCGGATATTATAAGAACTTTATCTATATCACTTTTATTGATTCCTTTCACCCACTTGAATACTTCTATCATATCTCCCCGCACTCTTCGTGTTACTCTGATGCCGCCATATTGTATACAAGTTTTTTTTTTCTCGTCTCACTTGGCTTAACACAACCAGTTAAACGTACACCTCTCACACACACAACTCCAATTAAGAGAAGTAAAAAAATACACAGGAACGAACAGCTGAGCCTGACCGTCGAGAATACAACGAAGAATAACAACACAAAATACAATGATGCATCAAATTTTTATCATGACAAAAATATCCCCAAGATTGAAAGTCATGCAGATAAGACAAGGAAAAAACAACAACAATATAATCCTCTACTCGGATTCCCAAAGGTTCCTACGATATATATTTTTTTTCCTGGGAAGTAAATATTAGAGAACGTATTTATAACGGGTAAATTTACGATACAATTTAGTGAGTGACTTTACGATACATATCATTAAGTAAAATTGTTCATGTATAACAACAAGAATAACATCACAAAATGGCCACAAAAGTACGCTGTGACTGTGCTTTCACGGGATACGTTTACATGGTATCAGATAAGAGGCAATATTAACGAACAATCTTTGTGAATACGGTCACTAGACACCACGAGGAGCGAGGATACAACACGGACACTGAGAAAGGACACAACACACACATTAAGGACACAACACACACATTAAGGACACAACACACACATTAAGGACACACCACGGACACCGAGAAAGGACACTGAGAAAGGACATGAACACAATTATACATCACGTTATCTAAAGAATGAAAGTCATCAAGATAGGTGGACCTGAGATCACCTGTACACCTGGGATCACCTGTACACCTGGGATCACCTGTACACCTGGGATCACCTGTACACCTGGGATCACCTGTACACCTGAGATCACCTGTACACCTGAGATCACCTGTACACCTGAGATCACCTGTACACCTGAGATCACCTGTACACCTGAGATCACCTGCACCTGGAGATCACCTGTACACCTGGGATCACCTGTACACCTGAGATCACCTGTACCTTGATCACCTGCACCTGGGATCACCTGTACTACACCTGGAGATCACCTGTACACCTGGGATCACCTGTACACCTGGGATCACCTGTACACCTACACCTGAGATCACCTGTACACCTGAGATCACCTGTACACCTAAGATCACCTTCGTCTAGCAAAGCTGCCATGTCACTTCGGGAACCGAAACCAAAGTCCGGCGATGTTGACTGCTTGTACTGGCGTAGGAGTGGCTGTAACGTGGAGGAACCACCCACATCACCAGAGACCCAACGTGGTAACTCCTCACCCCGGCACTTGTCTGTCCCTTCATAACACTCCACCTGCTGTGTGTGTGTGTGTGTGTGTGTTGTTTGTGAAAGTGTGTGTGTGTTGTTTGTGTGAAGGTGTGTGTGTGTGTGTGTGTGCGTGCGCGTGCGTTGTTTGTGTGAAAGTGTGCTTGTGTTTGTGTGAAAGTGTGTGTGTGTGTGTGTGTTGTCTGTGTGAAAGTGTGTGTGTGTGTGTGTGTGTGTGTGAAAATAAATGCCAGTATACTTGCGGACACCAATTGTAAAAGCATCGAGGCTACCATTATCCATGAACAACTACGTTGGACTGGCCATGTTAACCGCATGAACGACAGTAGAGTGCCAAAGCAACGTAACGCTGGCGGGCAACTGAAAAGGTATAAGGATAGTCTTAAGACAAACCTGAATAAGTGCCAAATCGACCCCCTCACCTTTGGAGACGATTGCTCCACACCGTAATGCTTGAAGGAGAACCACACGAGAAGGTGTCAATATTTTCGAGTTGGTCCGACTGCATAACGTGGCAGACAAGCGCCAACGCCGGAAAGACGCTGCCGCCGCCCCTCCCACACTAGATGTAGCCCCCCACATGTGCAACATCTGTAATCGACCCTGCCGGTCCCGTATCGGCTTCTTTAGTCATCTCAGACCTCACCAATGAAGGTGACATCCATAATAACTCATATCATTGTATCATAGCTGGATGATCGTCATACTCGATTCCGAGTGACAGCAAAGTAGTAGTAGTAGTAATTGTGTGTGTGTGTGTGTGTGTGCGCCCTAAACATAGCCTGTCTAAAAAAAAAAAACCTGACTGGGCAACGGCACCCAGTAAGGTCATTCATCCATACGCGGTCGTAAACCCATTCATAATCACAGATCCAAACAAAAGCAAACTATACAACCTCTTATGGTCGCTGCATGGAATGTCAGGACCCTTCTGTATACTGGCACAAATGAGCGTCCTGAAAGAAAAACTGCCCTTGTGGCTAAAGAGCTGGCTAGGTATAACATCGACATTAGTGAGTCCCAGCTCCCAGACGAGGGTCAACTCACAGAACGGGGGTCTGGCTATACCTTCTTCTAGGGTAAGCCTGCTGCGGAGAGAAACCGCATTTATTGATTGCTCCGCCAACGTATCCTACACAGGCTAACTGAAATGGTTATTGGGATCAACAAGCGCCTCATGACGCTCCAAAAACCGCTGAATCACTCACGTCATGCCTTTTTCATCAGTGCATACGCCCCAACACTGGATGCAGAGGATGGCATCAAGGAGGCCTTTTACGCTGACCTCGACAGAGTGCTAATCTCTATCCCCAGAGAAGAGAAGGTTGTGCTCCTTGGTGACTTCAATGCCAGAGTTGGCAGAGATGCTGACATATGGCAGAGAACCATAGGGAGAAATGAACTTGGCAAGTGTAATCCCAACAGCCTACTCCTCCTCAGCAACTGTGGTGCGCACAACATCGCTAACAATAATACCTTGTTTAGGCAGGCCGACAAGTACCTCTTCCTCCTCCAGTACCTCTTCCTCCTCCAGTACCTCTTCCTCCTCCAGTACCTCTTCCCCCTCCAGTACCTCTTCCTCTTCCTCCTCCAGTACCTCACTACACAACCACCTTCCCTTAGTGTCGTGCTCCACCTAAGGGTAACTTGACAGCAAGAGACAGACACCCCCTCCCACACTCCTTCCTTCATCCCCTCCCTCCCTCCCTCCCTCCCTCCCTCCTTCCTTCCTTCCTTCCTTCACCTCCTCCCTCCTCTCCTTCACCTTCTCCCTTCTCACCTTCACCTCTTCCCTTCTCTCCTTCACCTCCTCCCTTCTCTCCTTCACCTCCTACTTTCCCTCCATCACACCCCTTCCTTCCCTCCTACCTTCCCTCCATCACACCCCTTCCTTCCCTCCATCACACCCCTCCCTGCCCTCCTACCTTCCCTCCATCACACCCCTTCTTCCCTCACATTAACAGTCACGTAAGCTCTTGGTGTGGTGCTGTACACATATATAAGAAGGTGGCACATAATCCCCTGCAGAAGGCGAGTGTCAAGAACAGGTAATCCCTGGTCATGGCGGGGCGCGGGGACCTGGTTTCTCAGACTTAGAACCTGCGTCGTCAGGTCTGTGTCGGCCCTACAGTCAAGGACACACTGAGGGAGGATTACCGCTTATGGAACACATGACTGTATTTATCATGAGAAAGTGTATGTCATGTGTACCTTGATCCATGCCGGGTATACAACTGTCACGGTCATACAAGTACCCACGGTGAGATATGTACCCACAGTGAGATATGTACCCACAGTGAGACATGTACCCACAGTGAGACATGTACCCACAGTGAGACATGTACCCACAGTGAGACATGTACCCACAGTGAGACATGTACCCACAGTGAGACATGTACCCACGGTGAGATTTGTACCCACAGTGAGACATGTACCCACGGTGAGACATGTACACATCGCTAACTATCATCTTACATACAGTATTCTGTCTGTGTGTTGGTTTGGTCGTCCTGGTGAGCTCTGGGGTCAATTACTGAGGGTAGAATGTTTACACTTTCCCCTCGCTAACGCTTCCCTCCCCTGCTACCCTCCCCTCGCTAACATAACCCTCCCGTCGCTAACACAGCCCTCCCCTCCCCTCGCTAATACAACCCTCCCCTACCTAACACTGCCCTCCCCTCGCTAACACAACCTGACCCTCGCTAACACAGCCCTCTTCTCGCTAACACAACCCTCCCATCGCTAACATTACCCTCCCTCGCTACCACTACCCCCTCGCCAACCCAGTACCCTCTTCTTGCTACCCTCCCCAACACTACCATCCCTCACTTTCCCCCCTCCTTTAACACCAGCCCTCCTCTTCAACACAACCCTCCCCCTCGCTAACACTACCCTCCCCTCTTCCTTTTCTCCCTCGCCCAACACTACCCTCCCCTCATGCTTCATAACTCTCCCCTCCTTCTTTTCACCTCCCCTCCTTCAACATAACTCTCCTCGCTAACACCACCTCCCCTCCCTTCAACACACTACCCTCCCTCGCTAAACTACCCTCGCCCTGTTAACACAACCCTCCTCGCTAACACAACCCTCCCTCAGCTAACACAATCCCTCCCCTCACTTCTTTAGCCCTCCTCCTTCTTCAACCCTCCCTCCTTCTTCTACCCTCCCCTCCTTCTTATTACCTCCCCTCCTTCAACACAATCCTCCTTTCGCTAACAGTGCCCTCCCCTCCTTGTTACCCTCCCTCCCAGCACATTGCACTCCCCTCGCTAACATTACCCCTCCCTCCTTCTTAATTCCTCCCCTCGCTAACAGTACCCTCCCCTCCTTAACAGTACCCCTCCCCTCATAGCTTGTCACCCTCCTCATAACAGTACCCTCCCCTCCTTAACAGTACCCTCCCCTCAGCATTACCCTCCCCTCCTTCTTAGTACCCTCCCCTCGCTAACAGTACCCTCCCCTCGCTAACAGTACCCTCCCCTCCTTCTTACAACGTGCACCGCCATGGCCTCGTACATAAACACTTAAAATAGTCTTAATCTGCCTGTAGTATTTCATCCTCTCATTGCAATGGTCAACACGATTTAACCAAGTCGCTCTAAGATTGCTCTCTCTCTCTCTCTCTCTCTCTCTAAGGATAAACTGGTGTCTTGTGAATCTTCCTTTCATCAAAAATAGATCGGTTTAATTACTTTCCTCATGTTTCGTCACTTATCTGTCCATTACCCCCTCTGGTGGTTACTTCATGCCCTGTTGCTGCTGACAGGTACTGGGCACACCCTGGCTCTTGACTGTAACTGAACATGTGATGATGTAGATACTAAACTTGTACACACACCTGAACAAACGCACCTGGACACACACACACCTGGACACACACACTGACACATGCACGTACGCGCGCACACACGCACACGCACACACACACACACATGCATGCACACACGCACACACACGCGCACACACACATACGCGCACATACACACACACGCGCGCACACACACACACACACACACACGTGCGCGCGCGCACGCGCACACACATGCACGCACGCACGCACATACACATGCACGCACACACGCACACACGCACGCACGCACGCACGCACATACACAATACCTTACCGTTATAACTATAATCCCTAACACGACCCCCTAAACCATGCAGTGGGTCACCCTAGAACTAAAAATACTGATCTTACATTCACAGGCCTTGAGCGTCTTATCTGGTGTCCAAAATGTAAATATTACCAAGAGTGGAGTAGCCGGTGTGCCCCGGGAACAGGTTAGGTCAGTCCGCGTGGGGAAAAAATAACTTCTCTCGAATTCTTTACCTTCACCTAATTATCCATCACACCTGCGAGATATCCGACCTTACATGGGATTTATTTCTAACGGGCGAATATTTTTGTGGTGGTCTTCTTCTGTTCGTGGGTTTTTACTGTGTGGGGTTATACAGGCATGGAAACCCTACCACCAGAAAGATCTAACATCCCTGGAAAAGGTGCAGCACAGAGCGACTATGGTGATTCCGGAACTGTCACCTCGATTATCCAAGTCGACTGAGGGCTTTAAGACTAACAACCCTTCAGACAAGACACAATAGGACAGATCTCATTTAAACATTCAAATTCCTGAAAGTGATGGAAAACGTGAACCCGGAGCATTTCTTTGTGATGTCTTGCACCACCAACACGAGGGGACATAACTACAAGCTCGCTAAGTTAAGCAGGACGAGCAGGCTGGTAGATATAGGAACGGTCTACCAGCCCAAGCCGTAGGATCAAGAACAGTAGTTGCTTCAAAATAGTCCTTGACAAGACTATCAACAATAATAAAGTGATCTAACACAGGCCACTGGCCTCCCTCCCTCCCTCGGCATGGCCACCTCTAGTGGGTGGCCATTACTTTGTTAATTATTTCTGTCGGTGAATTAATAACCCGTTTGACTATTACTATCTGTGCATTATTACCCAGCCGCATTAATGAAGTAGCTGAGGGGGCATTTGTGTGCATGAGTTACATACACAACATTATTACTCTTAAGAGTTATTTTAGTGGGACATGTAAGATGTAAACAACACAAATTGGGTAACACGGTCATCCTGGCAGTAACTGAGATAATGACCTTTAATGTTTAATATATTAAAATTTTGGAGAAAAAAAATTCCGACAATCTATACTCAAGAGTCTGGTGAAATCGAATCTCTGAACTGTCCTTAACATATAAATGTAACTGTCAAATAAGCCACCTGGTAGGAAAAAAATCAAAAGGAAGTGGTGGTAGGGAGGTGGTGGTGGTGGTAGGGAGGTGGTGGTGGTAGAGAGGTGGTGGTGGTAGAGAGGTGGTGATGGTCGTTCGCACGCACACACAAACATCCTTGACCACCGTAGGGTCGAGACCTATCAGGCGCTGCTCCTGTGAGCAGCTGCCTCCCTTGGCCAATATTCGGCCTATTCCCCAAGTCCCTCTCCCCGACCCATCCTCACCACCGGGATATCAACATAATCAAAAGTGACTATTTCGTTTCGGAAAGAAGTGGGACCATTGTTGAACAGTGATGAACAGTGTTTAAGCCAGTGAATTCCGTACTAGACAGTACCAGTAAGAACCGTGACCCACCAGTGGGATAAGCACCCCTGGGGACTGACCGCCGTCTTCTGACCAGGAGGTGCTAATCAGTCTACCATGGGAACATAAGAACATAAAAATGGAGGAAACTGCAGCGGGACTATTGGCCCATACTGGGCAGTCCCATTTACACCCAACCCCTATTGCTCATATATCCATCCAACCTATGTTTGAAGCTATCCAGCTTATTCGAGTTAATGATGATATTTGGTAACTTGTTCCACCCGTCCACTACTCTATTTACAAACCAATGTTTACCTATTTCGCGCCTAAATCTAAATTTGTCTAATTTAAAACCATTGCTACGAGTTCGCTCCTGGTTGGATAGTTTGAGTACCTTGGTAATGTCCCCTTTGTTCAGCCCTGATTTCCATTTATACACCTCTATTATATCGCCCCTAACTCTACGTCTCTCGAGGAAGTGCAAATTAAGATTCTTTAACCTGTCTCTGTACTCAAGGTTCCTAATGCCCGGGATTAGTCTTGTCATTCTCCTCTGAATTCTTTCCAAGGATTCTAAATCCATTCTGTAATACGGTGACCAGAATTGAACTGCATAATCCAAGTGAAGTCTCACAAGCGCAAGATATAGTTTTAAGATGACCTCGCTAGTCATGTAACTAACACTCTTTTGTATGAACCCAAGTACTTTATTAGCTTTGTTTCAAGGAAATACACATTGCTTACTTGGCTTAAGTTTCCTGCTTATCATTACTCCTAAATCTTTCTCGCAGTCGGATTTCTCAATAACATTGATATTCAACTGGTATCTGGTTTCCTTGTTTACATCTCCTATACTGAGTACTTTACATTTGTCCACATTGAATTTCATCTGCCATTTTTCAGACCATTCGAAATTTTTTTTTAGATCTTCCTGTAGTTTTGCGGAGTCCTCGTCAAATTTAATTACACGCCCTATTTCAGTATCATCAGCAAATTTACTTATGTTACTGTCTACGCCGATATCTATGTCGTTTATGTATATAATAAATAATAATGGTCCGAGTACTGATCCTTGGGGAACTCCACAAGTGACGTTGCTCCAATGGGATTTGGTGCCGTTAATGCTCACTCGCTGTTTCCTGTGCTGTAACCACGCCCTAATCCATTTTAAAATATCACCTTTAATGCCATGAGCCTCCACTTTTCTTGTTAGTCTTTCGTGGGAACTCTGTCGAAGGCTTTGCTAAAGTCGAGATATACCACATCATAATTGTGTCACTTGTCCACTGATTCGAAAAATGAAAAGAATGTTAATAGATTAGTTAGACATGACCGCCCGCTTGTGAAGCCATGTTGGGAACATTGATCAACTTGTGCTTCTTCAGGTGATATCGAATAGTTTGAAATGATTGCTTCTAGTAATTTGCCTACAATTGATGTTAGACTGATTGGTCTGTAATTAGAGGATAGTGATCTATCTCCCTTCTTGAAAATCGGTATTACATTCGCTATCCTCCAGGATTCTTGTACGACACCTTATTTAAGGACATGTTAAACAACTTTGCTAAGGGCATACTAAGCTCTTCCTTGCATTCCTTTAATACTCTGGCAAATATCTCATCGGGACCAGGTGACTTATTAAGACTTTAGTTTGTCTATTTGCTTACTAACATCGTTACTAGTCACTACTATCTCGCTTAATTTATTTTCTTCATTATCTCTGTATAGAGTCGGTGCCTCCCATGTTTAAATTTTCGGTGGTGAAAACTGTTGAAAAGTATTTATTTAGATTATTGCTCATTTCTCCATCGTTATCAGTTAGCTCGCCAGTATGTGACTGTATTGGTCCAATCTTTTCTCGTGTTTTAGTTTGGTACATTTGATAGAATCCCTTGGGGTTTGACTTCGCCTCCCTTGCTATCTTCAGTTCATTATTCCTCTTTGCTTTTCTTATCTCGGTCTTGACCCTAAGGTCAATACCTTATAATAATCTTGGAGGTAGACTTCACCACGATTTCTTCTCCTACCTATAGTATTCCTTTGTCCAATAATATTCTTTTAATAATTTTTTATCCATTTAGGGTCATTGTTGTTTGATATGAGTTTTCTGTATGGTATGTTCTGCCTTTGTGCATTAAGTAACTCATTATTTAAATTGTTGTGAAAATCGGCAACCTCAGATCTCGTTATCAGGTCTCCGGTTAAGGTGAGATCGCCCTCTGTGGGTACATTGTGTTAGGTCACCTCATGTGAGGTCATGTAATTCATCCCCAAGCGTGATACCCCTTCTCTCAGCTGCCTCTTCAAACTATCAAGGTTTGCCCTTCTGAAATCTGGGACTTTACTGGAATTTTCCTTGCGGCTGCTCTGAAATTCTAACTGGAATCTAATTTCTTTGTGATCGCTGTTCGCAAGTTCGGTCCCTACCTCGACATTACTAATGAGGTTTTCTCTGTTTGACAGAACTAAATCGAGTATATTATTACCCCGGGTGGGTTCGGTTATATGATGGCTTAGGAAACAGTCCTCATTGTTTCAAGAAAATCCTCTGATTCTGAGTTACCCGTAAGGTCAATCCAATCTATTAGGCTTAAGTTAAAGTCGCCTACATTACAGACTTTGCTATGTATGGAAGCCCTGCGCATCTCATCCCAAGTAAGTCGCTCATTAACTCTACCAAGATTAGGTCTATATATTATTCCTGTGATTAATTTTTCCCTACCATCGATTAATTCTATCCGGATTGTTTCTGTATTCCGCTCTGTTTTTATTTCTTTATTTATTTCACACTTCAGATTATCCCTGACATAGATTGCTACTCCGCCTCCTTTCCTAATCTGCCTATCTGTATGGAATAATTTGTAACCTGCAATTTGGTATTCGACAGGTAACTCTCTTGAGTCTAGGTTTATCCACGTTTCGGTGAATGTTATTATATCGATTTTTTTTTTGGTACATACCAACGCCCTGATTTCATCAATTTTGTTTCTTATACTTCTGCTGTTTGCGTAGTAGACATTTAAGTTAGTCGTGTTCCGAGTCCTCTCTCTGTCGCATTTAGGTTATAACTCCCTGCCTAATTTAGTTTTGTCATAATCCCTAGCACTATTTCCCTGTAACCTTTCACTTTGTTTACCAGCCCCCACTGCAGTCTCCTTCACCCCCGTGCTCATATGTTCTCCTAGCAGTTTAAAGACTTCGACATCTTTTGAACTGTCCTCTCGAGAGAGCCAGCCAGGGTTGCCACCCCATCCCGAGACAGATGCACCCCATCCCTAGCGTAAAGGTCCCTTCTGCCGTAGAAGTTGTCCCAGTTGTCAATGAATGGGACTGATATTGACTTGCAACATCTGTCAAGACAGCCGTTGACAACAGAGGGCCGGTCGGCTATGCACCTGACTACGAGATAACACAACACCACCCAGCAGGGCGAGGTACTGCGACACCACCCCACACCACCCGGTGTCCCCATGACCACGTGAGGTCCTTATATCAACACCCGAGGACGAGTTACTGCACCACGTGAACACCACACCACCCAGTGTGTCCATGACCACGTAAGGTCCTTCATTTCAACACCCGAGGACGAGTTACTACACCATGTGAACACTACACCACCTAGTATCTCCATGACCACGTTAGGTTGTTCATATCAACACCCGAGGACGAGTTACTACACCACGTGAACACCACACCACCTGGTGTCTCCATGACCAGCCCGGCCCGGGCCATCAACTGTAAACTATAATAATTTGTATGTTCAATCGTTCCTTCTCCTTTCAGTAATGAAAGCTTTTGTTAAACGACCCACCCACCCCGTGTCTTTGTATGTAATAAGTCATTTTTGTCCAATGTATATTTTCAGCATTCGGGCTGCTGAACTTTTTCAATAAACCGTTAATTATTATTATTATTATTATTATAAACACCACACACGTACACACACGCATACATACGCACGCACGCACGCACGCACACACGTACACGCACGTACACACTCACACGGACACACTCACACGGACACGTACACA